GAACCCGTGGCCTTGGTGTTATCAGCACCGCACTCTCCCTAGTGAGCCACGGGCCAGCCCCATGCCAGTGGCTTTTCAATCTTATTTTTGACCACCTCCCACAGATTGCACTTCAATGTACACATACCTACATATCTTCAGTAACAGTACCCACCCACCCCCAATCATGCAAAGCACGCTTACATTTTCTGTTACATTTTATTCTAGTTCATTTTTAAAAAATGCTAGTTGTAACCAAATGAGCTAATTCCAAGACCCACTAATAGGTCATGACTCAGTTTGAAAAACGTTGCTTCATACTCCCACCAGAGTGATTTCTAGAATACAAATTGGATCATTTTTCTTCCTTGCTTAAAACCTTTAAATTATTTCCTATTTCACTTCAAACCCAGATCAAAGACCCTGACAAGGCTGCTGTCATCCAGCCCCCAGCTCTCCAGGCCTCTCTCACCCCACACTCCCCAGCCCTTACCTTCACTCTTTGCTCACTAGGCCTTTCTTCCAGTCACTAGAGGCATCTGACCCACAGCTGGTCACATGCTCTCCTCACTGCCCAAATCTCCCTGGAACCCTTCGCCTGCCCCACTCTAACCAATTCTTTAAGTCATCACTTGAAAATGCACGTTCTAGGGGCTGGCCCGTGGCTCACTCGGGAGAGTGTGGTGCTGATAACACCAAGGCCACGGGTTTGGATCCCTATATAGGGATGGCTGGATAGCTCACAGGCTGAGCGTGGTGCTGACAACACCAAGTCAAGGGTTGAGAACCCCTTACCGGTCATCTTTTAAAAAAAAAAAAAGAAAATGCACTTTCTGTCCAAGTTACTAGATCAGATGTGAACCCAAGCTGCAGGTTCTTCCTGCACTTCTCTCCAGCAGTACTTGTCATAATGGGGTTCTTCTGTTTCTCTGCACAGTCTGATTTATTAACTTTCCACACCAGGCTATGAACTACATAAGTGCAGCGACTAGCTGTTTTGCACACTAGTCAGCCCAGGGCCTGGCACAGAGCTGGGGATAGTTGGAAGAAGTAGAGACAGCCTGCTAGGGCACTCCCTCACCCCATCACGTTGGTCCTTGTACCGGGGCCGAGAGCCATCATCAGTCTCCATGCTGTCCTTGTCCTCCATGGCACTGCCTGATGCCAGACTATGGCGGGTCTGGTCGAACAGTGCAATCACCTCTTCTTGGAGGGTCTCACAGACATTTAGCACGAGCTGGGAGTACTGCGGGATATCACTTACTGCAGAGCAGACAGGGGAGGGGGACACTGTCATGCTCACCAGGCCAACTCTCACTGCACACCAAGGTTTCCTCCCCAGGCAGGGGGCTGGGAATGCAGTAGATGCTAAGAAGGAGAGTGTCTGTCTCGTGGGAGGAGAGGCAAGACAGATGGGGAAGAAAAAGAGCTTTCTTGAGGCAAGAGTTCCAAGACTGAAAACTCAAGTCACAGGAGAAGCGTCTGGCCCTAAGCTGGAGGAAGCCCCACCCAGGCTGCCTGCCATCAGGCTGCTACTGCTGCTCCCCACTGCCCCTGCCCCTCACCTCTCATCTCCTTCATCTGCAACACTGTGATGAATGCTGAAAACACTTTGGCCTTGGTCTTCTCCATGAGTCGCTGGTCTGCCTGTAGCACTCCCTCCAGGATCTCTGTCAAGGGTCTGAGGATTTCATCCACAGAACCTAATTCTCTAGAAAGAATGGGGAAAGGGAAGGGATGACAGGAAAACACACCTCATATGAAGGCCACTAACTGCCCTCGCTCCATCTCAGGATGCCCACCAAGCAGTCTGCTCCATCTCCTGTTTGTTTGCTATGTCACTCCCATTCCCGATGATGGTAAGCCAGCCTATTTTAGAATCATTTTCTCCCCTTCGGGAAGGTGAAGGGTTAGCAGAGGACCGGGCAGGCACTGTTGAGGAGGCTCCGGCCTTAAGCCCATCTCTTCTGGCACCGTGCTCACCTCTTCCACTGCCGGAGGAGGATAAGCAGCAGAGTGCACATCATGGAGCCAAGGCGGAGGCAGTTCACTGAGGCTGGAACTAGGAGCTGAGGGGAGACAGCAGACCAGTTAGAAGTCTGGCTTCCTGTGAGCAGACACAGCAGGGAGATGTTCACTCCATCCACAGGGCATCTTTCAGTCTCATGCCTTTCTGTGCCAGCAGTGAGCTCACAGGGGTGGAACCAGGAAAGAGGCCAGAAGCTGGCATGACAGCAGCAGACCTCACTTACCTACTGTAGCAGCAGGCCTCCCAGGCCAACTTGAGCCCTCTAACCTGACCACTTGTGCGACCAGCACTCATGAGCTCTGCTATTTGACTTCAGAAACCTTCTCCCCAGGAGAACTGTGAAATCTCCCAGACACACTTACTAACGCTTTGGTCCCATCAAGCACGTCAAGAAAGAGCTGGCGACGCATTGCAGAGTCAGTCAGGTGCACAATATCTGCCTGCAAAGGAACAGAAAAAGGTTTCAGTTGGGAAAATTTCCCAGCGTCTAGTGACCAAGAAATGTGGGGTCCTCTGTCAGGCAATTAGTCATTAATAAGTCACTGTCTCACTGATTAAAATGAGGGCCATGCTGGGACGGCCCGGTGGCGCACTGGAGAGTGCGCCGCTTGGGAGTGCGGCGGCGCACCCGCCGAGGGTTTGGATCCCATGTGGAGACCAGTTCCCGCTCACTGGCTGAGCGCGGTGCGGACGCAACACCAAGGGTTGCGATCCCGTTGCTGGTCCCCGGTACGGGCGCAACACCGAGGGTTGCAATCCCGTTACCGGTCAGTAAAAAAAGACAAAAAGGAAAAAAAAAAAAAAATGAGGGCCGTGCTATTTCTCTGTGGATACTTAGATATGGTCAGAATCAAGCCCAGGTTCACCTTTTCTTGATAACGCTATCATTTTTCTGCTTAGAACCCGACAAAGGCTTCCCAGTGCCTGGGAAATACAAACCGGATGCTTCAACATGGCCCAGGAGGCCCCACAGGATCTGGTCCGACTGATCCTGGTATCACCCCCACCTGTGCTCACTCTATCTAGGCCTGCTCTCCTCCTTCCTCCTTCCTGAACATCCCAAGCTCTTTCCCATTTCTGGACCTTTGCACTTGCTATTTCATGTGCCTAGCCTTTTCTTCTCCGCAGGCTCACCACCTGCAAGGCTTCTTCACACACTCAGGTATCAATTGGGACATATCCTCAGAAAGGGCCTCTCTGACTACTCCTACCTCATGTGTTTGCTACCATATAACATCTTGATTATTTTCTTCATAGCAAATTAATCACTATCTAAAACTGTATTTTTTACTTGTGAATTTGTTTACAATTTACTTCCCTGACAGGCCAGACTCCATTAGATCAAAAGCCTTATCTGCCTCATTTACTGCTATATTCCCTATGTCTAGCATGCACAAGCATTGCACTAACAGCCATCAAATGAATGAATGAATGATCAACATCCTGTACTTAACCAGACAGATTTCCTAGGAGGAAAAAGTATGATGAGATTTTCAGAGCTACACCTCAAGAACTAACTAGGGCCTAAAAGGCAGGTGAGAGAGGTTATACCCTGGGGAATCAATCACTCCCCAAAACGGCTGAGCCTTTTGGGTGTGTCCACAGTCTCAGGGGTCCACAAACACTATCCCACAGCAGGAGTGTTTACACAACTGCTCTTTCTAGGCTCAAAGCTCCAAACGTGGGCAGTCTGGTCCTGGGGAACAAGTCTCACAGAAGATGTGAAAGATGCTTGGAACAAGAAGGCATGTATCAAGCTGAAGTTGTTAATGAAGTCACGATATTAATCTGGACTCCCCAGGTAAGAACAATTCAACACCAAGTATTTATGAGAGGCCAGAGGCTGGCATGACAGCAGCAGACCTCACTTACCTACTGTAGCAGCAGGCCTCCCAGGCCAACTTGAGCCCTCTAACCTGACCACTTGTGCGACCAGCACTCATGAGCTCTGCTATTTGACTTCAGAAACCTTCTCCCCAGGAGAAGGTTTGACACAGCATGACACAGGTATGACACAGCATGATGACGACAAACCACAAAAAATACCAAGAACAATGCAAACTCCTCCCAAATGTTAACTGTCTTTCAAAACCAACTCTCAGTAGAAACACAGTGCAGATAATGGCCTCTGTTCTTTTTCTAAGGAGACCAAGAAATGCAGTTTCTAGACCAATGAAAACAAACTGCTCTCGAGAGGGTACTGCTGCAGCTGTAACTAGCTGACTAGTTAACAAATATTTTACCTGGTGTCTACAGGGCACACAGCACAAGATGCATTTGCAGGAGAAGTAGATGAGGGAAGGGAGCAGCTAAAACCTATCCAAGGCCCAAAAGGAACTACAGGAGGCTTTTAGAAAGGTCTGAAGGGAGTCTAAATTTCTTCTTTGAACTCCTCTTAAAGGTCTCTTGTTGGACTCAACACTCTCAAACACCCCCCATATTAGCCCCAATCTCTTGGCATAGAATCCATTACATTTTAGCTCTCAGGGATAAATCCTGATTTATTCTTCATCCCAAGAGGCTGTACCTGCTAGGCATCCTAACATATCACTGCTAAGATATCAAAGTGAAAATGCACCCAAAGAGGTTCTTACGTGACTGGTGGCAATGATGAGAAGCATCCTCCAGGCGGAGACCAGCATCTGATACTCTAACAAGGAGGTGCAGCTGCTGCCCTCTGTTTCAGCTGTGTGAACTGCCAAGGACTTGACATACCCCGACCAGTAGGCAAAGCGTTTCTCACTGGAAAATTTCTTGAGTGTGTCTTTTAATGACTGGTCTAATGAACCCCTACAGTGTCAAGAAAAAACAAAACCTACAGTTTGATTTTGAAAGCAAATGGGAATGCGATGGGTACAGACCCTTGTTGAAGCAGAGAAAACAACATGGGCATAAAGGCAGATAGCTCCAGGATCACCTCCAATGTGTGAGGCTCATACTTCTTGCTCAACATAATGGGTTGGGCAGAAACCTTTCCAGGATTCCTTCTCCATAAAATCCCAGTCACATGGAGTTTGCTTCACAGTAACTCTTTCTGGTAATCATAAATGCTGTCAATGGATTGGCCAGGGACACAGCTCACTGGCCCTCCACAAATGGTTCCAAACCAGCTTTCTCCTCTGTCTCGGCTCAGACAGCCAGGTGCCCAGTGGTAGGCCACCATGATCTCCCTCTTCCACAACCTTTAATTAAAATCTCAAAAGGGGAAAAGACTCACTTAACTACATAGTATATCTCCAAGCAAATTATCTTCATGATTAGGGCACAGGTTTCCAGGATGCTGGGCTGTGGAGAGGAAGAGCAGACAGACACCAATCATGTGGGGAAATCTTTTCCCTGGTGTCTCCCCACAACACAACAGAGCAGGAACCCAATCCTTGTAATAAAAGCCAAGTACACTCCCTAGCAAATGTGAATGGTCGTCTGACTTGCAAGAGCAGAAGCGTCAGGTCCACAATGTCTCCAAGTGAGTGGAGAAGATCACAGAGCCATCAACACAGAGCAGGGCAAGCCACTTTCCTTCCCAAAGCAAGACATCAAAGGGAGAGGAAGCAGGCACTTCTCTGAGAAAGAAGTTTCTAGTGAAGAAAACATTCTGTTGTTTAATTAGGGAAAGTATAGCTTTCTGCACCTCCATCTCACAGCCCAGCCTTTCCTCCTAGGGACTTCCAGGCACTGTCCCACTCTCCACTACAGCTTACCTCAGATGTTTCTGAGGGAGGAGAAAGGATTCCAAACAGCGGACTAGTTAAATTCTCCCAAAACTTGGGTCTAGAAAGGAAATACATATTGTAAATCACACTTTTGCCCTCCCAAATACCTTTGCCGCTCTCTCCAGATCCCTTTGGTGGTCACTCCTTCATATTACACCAGTCCCAATCCTAACATTTCTCTCACACATCAATTGTTCTTACATAAATGTAAAGGGTTCCATCGATAAAATTACACTTTCCTTTTAATAAGTACAATTATATTTTATAGAGTTGACCAAGAATAGGTTTTGATGGATTTAGCAGAAGGCAGGAACACAAAAGTAGCTGACTCTTAAACATGACACCTGCTGGTGGCAGCATTAAAAAGAAAATAAGTGGGGCCGGCCCGGTGGCGCACTCGGTGGAGGGCGACGCTTGGGAGCGCGGTGGTGCTCCCGCCGAGGGTTCGGATCCCATATAGAGACCAGTCCGCTCACTGGCTGAGCGAGGTGCGGGCGCGACACCGAGGGTTGC